CAAGTCAACTTCTATAAACATGTGAATCCGATCTACTCGTTACAGTACATTGTCAATGCGTATATGCATAATAGTACTCGATGTGAACTCATATTAAATGAGATGAAGGGTCCAATCCAATAATTGCACAAAAGCCCAAAGACAAAGACTTAATAAGTAAAGGAAACATGCATACTACGCATACATGTAATCCAGCGAATGTACAACTGGATTAACAACTTAGGATTCATGAAGCTCCTTAATAACCAATGGCTAATGAACATGTATGAGACTCTAGATAAACCTATGTGTCTTAGCTCGTTAAAGGCATCCCACTGACGAGTTGGGCTGACAAAGCCACCCCAAATCATCGAAATACATGACGCCATATCAAGGTGATATAAGCATGTCATACAGTTACTACAAAAGAGATGCTAAAAATTCTGGTATGATCATCTTCTTCCAATTTACTTAGACTTATCACTCAATATAATGATTTAAGCATTGGAGTGACGTGCTGGCACCTCCACATATGTCCCAAACAAGCAGACTTCTCCATCATTAGTGCCATCTTCCCGCAAGCTCCATCCCATGTAGCAAACTCGTAGTAATCATCCTCTAATTACTTGGATCAGGCTCAACTATGTATGGTCAGGCCCAACTTCTCTTTGATAGATCAATATTCGATTGGAGATGAATATTGTATTCCAATTGCAGAAGGTACAATTTTGTATCCCATTCCAGTGTTATTTCGTCCCAATGATCGATCAAGGTCAGCATGAATCAGGAATGAAATGGATGAGCACAAATTGCATGCATATAATGTTACCTTTTGTTACAGTAAGCAAGTGGTTACATGTCGTTATATTAGTATGGACACCCTATGTTGTTGCTATTTCGGTGTCACTAGTAATGAAACATAACAATGTGATAATATCAATTAGCATGGAGTGGGAGAATGGGGGGAGTGGGTTTAAGTGCTTTAGATTGTTGAGATTGCAGCATGTGGCACGGTCTACGGGTTCCCCCAGGGGTCTGCAAAACTTAAAATAAAAATAAAAAATATAAAGACAATTTCGTGGGGGGCAGGGTGCCGAACTGACCGCCCTCTATCGAAAATAGTTTCAATAGTATATCAAACTGGCAAAGAATATCATTCAGGAACCCCTTAATGATCAAACGAACTATATATTGTTAATATATTCAACTGTGATGAGTTTTATATTGGTTGTTAATAGATTAAGTGAATATCGTATAAATGAAAGGATGCATGAACCCACTGTCTTAAGATTTTGGGCGTAGACGTAGTATATAGCACACTTGTAATAATTGAGTCAACTTAGCACATTGATAATCTGCCATAGCGTCCCTTTCAATGTTATTAAATTTGAATCGGTCATCGACTTAGTCGGGGTACCGAGTCAGTGGGTCACTGATTCCCAGATAGATATATATAAATTTATATTTTATACTTAATTATATAATAAATATTTTAAATGGAACAATTTAACCAACAACCCAATGTAGCCTAGTGGTAAGTACTCTGATATATATCTCCATGACAAGGGTTTGATCTCCACTGGTTGCAACTTAATCCTGACCGTTTCAACTAAATCTAGCTTAGTGGTAAGTGTGTATAAATTTTCAAAAACTGGTACCGGATTGATACCGGGTCAATGACATATCCAATCCATGACTTGAATTGGCCCAGAAATCGGGCCAACTGATCGGACTGGCCCAACCATTCGCGTTTTAATAACATTGCCCCCTTTAGTCCACCTAACATTAGTATCAAAGATTTGATTAGGGCTAGCCAAATATTTTACTGAAGCTAAGCTTTTGCTTAAAACATGGAGAGCATTATAATTAGGGAAAATAGTTTCTACTTTTACTTTAGATAATTTTACACGTAGTTCACAATTTTAACTAAGTCTTACTAGTAAGAATTAGTTATAACAGTAAAAGTAAATTTTCTCTTCCCGTCACGTCTGCCGACATTGTCTGAGGAGAAAGAAAAGAAATAACTTTATTAATATAACTAAGTCTTACTAATAAGACTTAGTTAAAATCGTGCACTGTAGATAAGTTGTCTAAAATTATGATAGAAAAAGTTTACCCAATTAATAGTATCGTATAAAATATTATATTTTAGTTTATGTTTAATTATAACATTAGATTTTTATTTTATATATATATATATATATATATATATATATATATATATTATAATACTAGAATCTGAATAAAAAATGTTTACGCATTGATTTTTTTCTTATTTTTGTTTTTATTAATATAAAAGTTTATAAAATGGTATAATTAAAAATTATGATATTTCTAACTAGTATGCCTAGAGTATTTATAAAAGAATAAAAAATAATAAGCATTATACTAAAACTAAAACTTTTTGACTTTTTAATATATTAGACATATTTTTATGGGGCAGGTTATATTTATATACTTTTTGTTTACAAACTCTTATAAACTACACTATCTTCTCTCGAAGAACACTAGTTATACTATCTTCTCTCGGAAGAAGATTGTGTAATTTGTAAAAATTTGTACAAATAAATGGATCATTTTTCTATTTTTATTTGATACCTTTTATTATGCCTTAGGTGTTTTAAGGCGTGGCTTGACCAAACCCAAGAAAAAAACAATTCTCTCAAGATTTCTTTGTAATAATTATGATTTTGGATTTTCCCTAAGTTGATTAGTTCATCAGTTTCACGCTTTGATAAGAACATCATCACAGTGCCAATACTTAAGATTTTCAAGCAAAGGCAATGACTGAACAGTTGCAAACTTCCGAAAACAAGTAACAATAACAAGGACAAGAAGCCACGAAAAATAAGTAATTCTATAGTGTGAAAAGAAGGAACAAGTTGAGTTCAGCCGTCAACCTTTACTGCTCAATGGTGTTTTCGAAAAGGAAAAATAAATAAATATAATGTTATAGAAAAAAATTTAGGTTATCTTATTGAAATAGAAATTGTAGGATTCACACTTGTTTTCAAAAACTAAAAAAATAAAAAATTGTGAGTTCCACAATCTCTATCTCTATAACATAACTTAAATACTTTTGTACAACATTATACTTCTATTTTTATTTCAAAAAATTCAAAACTTATGAATATAAATATTTAAGTTTTTAAATTATAGTAATTTTTTTAATAAAATATTATGCCTACTTTTTTTTTTATACGTAGTCTACTTACTCATTTTCAATATCGTTAGATTAAAATTTTAATTAATCTTCACATATTTTTTATTCTCTTAAGATTTTAAGCTAATGATATTGAAGAAAAATAAGTATAATAGATAGGAAGCAAAGTAGGCATAATATAATATTTCTAATTTTTTACTTATGTTAAAAATGTATCTTAATATGTACTAAAAAAATGTAACTTAATAACCTTTTACATTAGTTGTTTATTTTTGACTTTCAAAAAGTTGTGTACATTGAAAACCTTAAAAAAAGAAAAAAGAGTTGTGTGCAGACTCTGCAGAGCATTTCTCTGCTTATCCCTTCTAAGTTCGATTACCATTGAAATGACAGTCGAGAACCACAATAATTTTCTGACCACAGTGTACCCACAAAAAAAGATATATATATATATATATATATATATTTTTTTTTTTTTTTAATTTTTAATATAAAGCCTGGACAATGGTAGAGTTTATTTAGCTTATACTGTCTGATTCGGTGTTCATTTCCCAATTGTAGCCGTTCATACTTATAATAAACCTGTTACAACTTACAATAATTAATTGAATCTTTTATTGTGCTGCCATATGCAAAACATGAAAAAAGGAAGAATCAAGTCTGATCTACCATCTGTAGTCTGATTAGTTTGGAGTTTGATACCTTCTGAACATGATTTTATACTTCATATCTTATTTGACTATTTTTATTTTTATTTTTTTAATCAAGCTTGGCCATGAACGTAAATTTGAAGTAAAGCAACAATTACTTACTTTTACAACATTATTTTTACACATAAATCAATGATGAGAAGATGGAAAAAATATTTCTGCATTTAATACAGATAAGTTATTTGTATTTATTCTCAAAACAACGTCATTTTGGTATTGAAATCTTAAAAAATTATAAATATAAAAACTGTTATCGTGAAATAAATTAAAATTACAAAAATATCATAATTTCTATCCCAAAATAACATTATATTGAACTTACTGCAAATAACTTATTTACACGGCAGAAAAAATGAACCCTTATTAGTTCGTAATGATTTACCGAACTAAGCATAAATTAATTCGTAAAATTAAATGTAGAAACGTTCACCGAATCACACACTTGTTGATATCCATAATTAACAACTGTAGAACGCTTAATCATCAATTGCTTTTTCCAAATCAAAAGATATTTAACGTGCCAGCATCTTGTGGTTCACGAACAAATAAACAACATTTTCCAATTTTTCCTGGATTCGTATTCTTTGGTGTTTCATAATGTTCTCCCAACAGAAAAGCATCACAGATTCACAGTTCTGGCAAACTGATTTGCAGAGTCGGTAGGGTCCACTAGTAGTTCATAGCCATCAATCACGTAAGGCAATAGGGCCCACACCATCACCTCTCGAAGTAGCACTACAGTTATATTATTCCCAAAAACAAGTACTCGGGAAAAAAAAGAAGGAGAAATCGATGGCTTATATGTCAAAGTTCTTCTAGTACAAGCCTAGTTAGAGTATTTAACTATTTTATCATCAGAAAGCAAAACTACCCATTATTTTTCTTTTCCCGCGCTTTAAAAATAGTACTATATTATTAGTAGCTTAATTTCAATAATTTATGTTATATATTAATATCACTAGCTAAGTAGCTGCCTATATCCTTGGCTCAAACGCTGATAGAGTAGTCAAAGATTTGTGTCTGCTTTTTCACCCAAAATCTCCTTTCGCTGCAAAACATTTGCTCTCACAAGTCCAAACTCTTTCTCCCTTTGCTAGACTTTCTTGGTTTAACTCTTATGCTTCAAACAACAAATATTTCCTCTTTAGATGGAAACCGTTAAACCCAAATCAGCAATCAATAGTAGGAGCAAGAAATTGGCCAAGAAATTCCAGAAGGTGATTAGCCTCCGAAGTGCAACAAAAATTGGTTCAAACAATGGCATTTGCATGCTCAACTCTCACCTCAAAGTCAAGGAAGATCCTTTCACTGATCATCAGATGAAAACCCATCAATCTAATGGCAAGCATGAAGACAACAAGGCTAGAAACAGAGCAGTTATGGAGGCTCTAATTGCAAGGCTCTTTGCTGGGGTTACTACTATCAAAGCAGCATATGCAGAGCTTCAAATGGCTCAGCGTCCTTACAACAATGAGTCAATTCAAATGGCTGATCAAGCAGTGGTGGATGAACTGAGAGCTGTCTCAGAATTTAAGCGCAGGTTCTTGAAGAAAGAGCTTGATCTTTCACCCCAAGTCACCGTGATGCTTGCAGAGATTCAAGAACAGCAGGGCCTAATGAAGACCTACGAAATCACCATCAAAAAGCTCGAAGCCGAGGTTGATGTCAAGGACAATGACATCTCATCACTCAGGAAACACCTTGATGATTGCATTGCCTTCAACAAATCACTTGAAAAGAAGCTAAACTCAAGTGGGTCTTTGTCACAGTTCGACAACCTTAGACTCTCAGTGTTAAATCCAACCCATTTTGTCCATTTTCTTCACCACACGTTGAGATCAATGAGGAGTTTCGTGAAGCTTATGATCAAAGAAATGGAGTCTGCTCATTGGGATCTTGAAGCAGCTGTCAAATTCATCCACCCAAATGCAGTTTTCACCAAACCAAGTCACCGTTGCTTTGCATTTGAATCCTTCGTCTGCATAACAATGTTTGAAGGGTTCAACTACCCAAATTTCAGTATTCAAGATGACCCTCTTGAGAAACGCCGCCATGACAAAAATGTCTACTTTGACAAATTCAAAAAGCTTAAATCTTTGAACCCAAAACAGTACTTATCCCACAATCCAAACTCATCCTTCTCCAGGTTCCTAAAATCCAAGTATCTTCAAGTGGTCCATGCCAAAATGGAGTGCTCCTTGTTTGGGAACTTGAACCAGAGGAAGCTAGTGAATTCTGGGGGATACCCGGATTCTGCTTTCTTCATAGCGTTTGCAGAGATGGCCAAGCGTGTGTGGGCACTGCATTGTTTAGCATTGTCATTTGAGGAAGATGTCACCATTTTTCAGGTTAAGAAGAACACTAGGTTTTCTGAGGTGTACATGGAATGTGTCACAGAAGAACCACTTTCAACTTCAGGGGAATCCAGTGATTCCAATTCCGGCGAGCTTAAGGTGGCTTTCACGGTGGTTCCAGGTTTCAAAATCGGTAAGACAGTGTTACAGAGTCAGGTTTACCTGTCTTTGGTGGGTTCTCCGGCGAGTTGCTAATAGATGTTAGTTTCCGTGGTTATGGTACCGTTAAATGAATTGTAAAGTATATATTGAGTGTTAATAAATGTTTAGAAATTTATTAAATAGAATAACTACTCAATATATACTTCACAACTCATTTCATTTACCTTTGAGAAAAGTTGAAAAATAAATAAAAGATGAAGAAAAAAGTATAGTTATGTAATTAGACATTTTTGAAGTTCTGATTGTACATTTGGTGTCAAAGTAGGGATGCTTCAGGTGCTCTGTTTGACGCTCGGGCATGGAAATTGTAGTGCGGGGCATTTGGTACAGCAGAAATTTTTATTTGTTCGGAAATCTCGATTTTTAAAAATTTAAAAATTTAAAATTTTAAAAATTTCAGTTTCTCGAAAATCCGGAAAAATCCGTGTACCAAACGATCCCTAAGTATATACACCTTTTGAACTTCTATGTTTTCCTTAGTTATCAGCAATACCAAATGTAAATTATCTTGTATAAATGGCACTATAGTGTAATCAGTGATAAGTCACTTAAGTAAGCAGCCTTGAGTTCTTTTTGATCAAATTCTGGCGTAGCAGATGTGCTCCATTATCAACGTTGTATAAAGTAAAGATTAAAGTTTGTAGTTATTTTAAGTGGAAAAAAGAAAACTTAAATAAAGTTTCTTTAATTATATTTATGATATTGTTCTGCAATACATGAAAAAAGTTTTTAATTACAAATTTTTCAGTGAAATTTTGATACGTAAAAGTGATTATTTCTAGATAAAAATATTTCTGCAGTTAATGTTGATAAGTTATCTGTATTTATTTTTAAAATGACATTGTTTTGGGATTGAAATATTAAAAAATTATAATTATAAAAATTATTATAATTCTGAAATAAATTAAAATTACAAAAATATCATATAGTAACTACTAGAAAAAGCTAAGTCTCGTTTCTATTATATAATTGTTTGGTAAAGATGATGTGAGTGGTAGCATTTTATCCTCCATATGCATCTAGAGGACAGTGTTACATGCTCAAGTTATTTAATCATCAATTTTGAATTCAAAATCTTACATTTGTTAGAAACTGAGGCTAAGCCTGCCTTGTGTGTGCATCATTGATGGGCCAGTGCTGCTACGGAAGAGGCAATCAGATCAAGTACTTCAATATCAATTACAATAGGTAGGCGCGTGGGGAGCCACAAAGAATGGCCACAATAACTGATAGTGTGAGCAAAAAAAGCTCAAGGCCATAGGCATTTTGGACCCACATGTAACTTGGCCAAGCGGGCATCGATATGATCTTGATTTGATCATGGTAGAGAAATGGAGAATGGTGGGGTAGGGGATAATCAGGTTTCAAGGGTCCACAAGAGAGAAAGCTTTGAGTGTCAGTTAGTTTCTTCTTGCAGTACAATGTTGTCAAATATAACTTGCCGTTGGAACAGTAATCGGTTCTCACTCTGCAACTTGCTTAATTTGATATAGGATACCAATGTAATATGTTGCCTAGCTAGTTTACCTAATCCATTAATATATTTGGTTAACCTTTAAATGAAAGCCAAATTGGCCTAGATAATGTAGAATTAGATCTTGTATAGAGTTGTTCATTTTGTGGACAAAGAACAGTCATCGTAGATCGTAGTTCCTAACCTTTTTCAACCTCTGTGTGACCCATGTTGGAAATGTTATATTAAACTATGGTTCACGGGATTGCAAGGCAACATGTCAGGACGTACTGACTGTGCCGTTTCCATACTCATTTGCTACCTACCACTTACCAGCCTACCACTAACACAGTCAACAATTTTCCACTGCAATTTATTGAGTAAACAATTTTTTATTTTTATTTTGTAGTACAATATACCATATGTGACACAAATTAATAATCCACACCTTCAAATTGTTTTTGAAGAAAAAGTTGAACCTGAGCACATAACATATATAGAGTATCTAGGGGTTCTCAAGCAATAGGGTAATAATATTTCACAAATAGATATTTTAGTTTATTCGTAGCTTGATCTGCACTCCTAATTCTAAACCCTTTGGAGGCAAATCCAACTAATAAGTACTAAAGAGCTCATCAATTAATACCTTTGCGTACCTTTAAGAAAAGTTCAACTATTTGACAACATGATGACAAAAGGAAACCTCTTTGAATACACCTTTGATGAGGAAACACAAAATCTCTCTGCTTTCATTTTCTTGATGGTATTAGCTGGCTTTGGTTTTGCTAATAAACAAAGCCAAGTAGATTCTAGAATTGGTGGGATGCCAAAACAAACACATGGGAAGACATAAATGAGGGAGTTGGAATTTTTAAATGAGACAAGCTTAACATTATGTTTCTTGGGATCGAGATGTTGAACAAATCATTCAAGCATATTAATTAAGTCATATTTTGAGTGTCGTTTTGTTAGTGTGAAGAGGAGGAGTAAGTATTGGATTCCAGTCAACATGTTAGGGCTTTTTTTGTTTTTTGTGATAATTACTTATTATTATTAATATAGGATAATAGAATATGAAGGGGGAAAACAGTAGAAGGTAAAGAACTGTGAGCAAAACCTGATAAGAGAATAAATGAATAAATATATCAAAATATTGCAATCTCATCTTCCACGATGGAAACAACTACAGTATGTGAAACTATGCGGTTCTCAATATTTCATCGGGCTCATACCCAGCGACAGATGGCCCGTCTAGCTACATACATAGGCTGGTCCAAATCCACTAGAGGAGACTCTTAATATATATGTATCTGTTATAACATCAGACTAATTTCAAGAGTTGCTTTTTTTCTTCGTCTTTTTCGGACCATGAGGTTGCCTCTTTATAGGATCATGTTTTCTAGAAACCTGTTTAATTAGTTTGAAAACTAGAACACTTATTTGAAGTTCTTACGGTATTTATATTTACTTATATCATTGATGATTTGTTAAATATTAATTGGTTGTTAATACTTGCAACAAATGTTCCAAGGTTGCCAAGACCAAGTATAAACAAGGGTCAATAAATACTTAATAAATAACAAGGTAAAAAAAGTAGTTATGCTATAACTTGTTGGGTCAAGTTGGACCCTCAAGTTGATTGCGGAAGCGAAACAGTAAAATGCAAGAAGAGAGAGATGGAGAAGAACACGATCAATTTATTTAAATTGCAAAAATCTTTTCCAATATGAAAAAGTAAAAAATCACGAGACAGTAGTCCAGAATCAAACTTTCACTATAAGAATAATGGGTTACAACAATCAGAATTCACTTACAATGGTGGTAATATCAAACTTTCCTAAAGAGGTCTAACTTAAACTTCTATCTAGAGATATTCAAATTATTTCTTATATCTCTAAACCTCACACACTATAAGCTTATATAGGGGAGGAAGATGATTCTAGACATTGAACAACTCAAAGAATGTGTCTCTTGAGCCTTGCACCTTTATTTATGGAGAGACATTGAATCACTCAAATGTTATGACCCTTGAGCCTTGCACCAAAAATAGAGAGTTCCAATCTCTTGGAATTTTTTGCCAAGCATTGAAGAAGGAACAACTCCCAACATAACTTATTAAAATTATCTCTTTATAATCATCTTAATATTTAATAAAAAGTATTACATAAATAAATATTATTTAATAATCAAGAGGATTAATATGAGGATACATTAGGAAGATTAAAGATTATTTTAAAAAAAACAAAGAAGTAATCCCCACAATTATTATGTCACTAACTAAGATCATTTATATTTATACACTTATGTGTAATTCTTATTTATGCATTTGCAGTGCCCTCTTGCTATCTCTGTCTTTTCGTTCGAGGTTAATAAAGAGATCAGAATTGTGCTATGCAATAAGATAAGTTTGTTTTGCCAAAAATAAAATAAAAATAACAATAATAATTTTGAAGTGCGGTAATATCTCATGTCAATTACAAAAAAAGAGAGGGAAAATATGGTGCATGCAGGTCTCGAACCTGCGACCTTGGCGTTATTAGCACCACACTCTAACCGAGCTAAAAGGCCAAAGGCTTTTTGAGTGTCCAGTTTTCATAACTCATATTTTGGAATCTTGACAACAAATTGGTCATTGAATTGGACCAATCGATTATCGCTTATCAGCTTGACGCGGGCTAATCCACCTTTGGCAATTCAATAGTTGAAAAATAATAGTCCATTGTTTATATCATTGAAAGAAAAGAACAAAATTTATAGAATACACTATCCATGCTTAACCACACACCCATACATAGAGAAAGAGGAAAGTTATATGGCGTTCTCTCCTATCATTTCCCTTGTTCATAATATCGATCCAAACTAGTACTAATTAAGGAACAGAATGAATTGGTAGACTTCCACATCAGAATTACTAAACCTACTTGGGTTTGGAATTTGTAAGAAAGGTAATGCTATGTAAACAAAACAAGATTATCAATGGCCAAGTCCAGGGCCTGAAATACGTATATATCATAAACTCCCTTAGATTTCAATAGTTTCTGAGGGATACGGCCCTTTGCAATAGTTAATGAAAAGAAGCTTCATCTGAATTAAGTTCTGACATCTTATCCATCTTTTAGCTTCTTCTTTTTTTTTTTTTGCAAAAGCATCTTTAGCTTCTTTGATGCTTCTCGTCCTTCATGTTCTTGCCCCACAAACGGATAACATCGAATCGCAGAAATTCTCAGTGTTGTCACTAAAATGATGATTTATGATACAGCACACAAAGGAAAGTTTGGCACCTACGTAAGTAGCCATAATGTACTGATGTTGCTGTCGTATATTGTATAATAATGGTATAATATATAAGAGAAATTATATTTATTAACTTTTTTTCCCTTGCAACTTTTTACAATTACTTTCATGATTGTTGAATCAAAATCAAATCAAAAACTCTCATTTAATATTATTTTGTAACCGTTGATTTAATTTTGATATAATAATCATAAAAGTAATTGGAAGAAATTATAAAAAAAATATATATTATAAATATAACAGAAGATATAAATTAACAAGTGATATTTGTAGCAATAGTACTGGC